CTAGCCCGTCGCTCCCCTCTTTGTTCCGCTCGGTTCATGCGTGAAATGGAGAGGAGGGGTTTCGGTTTTGCTATATGAGAGGAATTGGCTTGCTAATTACTCAAATACCCTCACTTAAGAAATTTCGGTACAAGGAATAGAGAAGGGTAGTTTTCGTATTTTTAGACTTCTAAAATTAATTTCGTTGCATTCCGATAACCTTGAAAATTTTACTTAAAAATTCGTCGCGGCGCTTTAAAAAAACGTGCGATGCCTAAAATAGGATTTTCGGGTTTAAGCCATGAAATTCATGCAATTAATTTAGAATTGATTTTAGGCTTAATAGGTCCAAATGAGTCAACCTATGTTGACTCGGTCAACCAAGTTGACCCACGGCCTGGACCCGGGCTCAACCAACTCAAATCGACTCACTGAACCCATCGGAGGGGGTCTCAAGGTCTAATTTGGCCAATTTGACCAAGTCAACTTTCTAGGCCCAGGTTTGGACAAAATCGAGGTCAACATTGGTATGAAGGGAGCCATTAGGGTTTAGTGGGGCCCCATCCACTTAAGTGGGGGCATTTTGGGGAGGGAGAAATTGTGTGTTGGTATGAAGGGAGCCATTAGGGTTTAGTGGGGATCATTATGAAAAGTGTATTCTCTCTCTTATTTTCTCCTTAGCCTCCTTCTTGCTCTTTTCTAGGGTTTTCTTGTGGGAGATCTTGTCCTTCTCGAAGTGGACAAACTTATCTTGTTTTCTCGTGGTTTTCTTATGCAAAGGTTTTTGCTTCTCATCTCAACCCTCTTGTGATTGTTCTTTTTTGATTTTGGTGGAGAAATTCCTCTTTTTGGGGGGAAATTAGGGCAAAACTGAAATTGTCAAAACCTAAGGTGTATCAGTTACACAATGGAAAAAAATCATGAGCGTATCAGGCTTAAACAGACAATACCTCAATAGTTAAGAATTTGGGCTGTTACATTCATGTTTGCCATTAGATGCATTTCTCCTTAGATTAATGCATCCATGTCACACAAATTTAAATGTGAAATTATTAACAGCACTTCTTATTTACTCAAATAATGAACTGTTGGCTCAAATTCCAACTCTTCTAAGATGGACGTTGCTTATTCATACATGAATAACTTCATGTAATTGTCAAACTGACAAACACCATGCAACGACAACAAATAGCTATATATCTACCCCCATCTTGTTTCATTCAAGATGATCATGAGGTTTCAGTGACATGAACATTGCTGCATAACGTCGAAGCCTGCGCTCATCGCCGTCGTTTTCCGATGGCTCAATGACAACACTGATGCCCATTCTTCTTGCTCTGTTACGGCGCCATGCAAGCTGTATGTTTACAGCAGCCCAAGTTCGCCAATTTGCAGAATAAAACCTTGCTGTTCTCTTAAGCTTCTCATTTGCAAATTTATACCTGAAGTGCTCAGTGATGTATCTTAGATGAGGTGCGTCGAGACCAAAGGCTTCTGTAGGCTCGATGCAAACGAAGGTTGCAGAAGAAGCAGGCAGGCGGTCGACAAATGGACGACGAAGACACCATGAGAGAAGCTCATCCCCGAAGAAGCCACCAGGGCCTAGCATGCAAGTGGCTACCATTCCTTTGCTAAGTTGTTGGTTGCTTTGCAAGGTCCCTTTGACTATAAATACCATGCGCTTTACAGGGTCTCCTTCTCTAATCACCTGGTTTAAGGTCAGTTTTAGAGAGGGATTGCAAAAAAATTATCTTTTTTGTGATATTATGAGTATAAGCGTTTTTACCTTCTCATTTTTGGAGAAAACCAGTGGTTCTACTCGATCGCATATGTTGTCAAGGATAAGGTCGTCCAGATTATGAAATATAGGAACCTGACAAACAAATTGAATATGATTAGCTAGTGTAGCTCGCATTAGTTTTTTGATTTACATAGAAAAAAGTAGCTCATAAATAACTTTTCTGTAGATGATTATAAACCTTGCCAAACGAAGTTCAGTGAATAATTAACAGCCTGAAACCAGCATGCAATTTACCTGTTTGATGAGATCAAGGCACAGCTGACGCTTGATCTCTCTCCTTAGCCCTTCTGGTAAATCTTTGATCATCTCCATCTCATCCTCCCCTCTTGTTGCCGCCCATCTCTGCAATTCATATTGTCTAACTCTCTGTCTCAGCTGAGAAGGAAGTTGTCTTCTTCTCATCCACCACTCCATATCTCTGCACCGCAGCTGCATCTTTCTCTTCCTCGCCATCACTGAATGCAAAAATACCTGTATATTCTTGCTTGAAAGTTATTAAACTGCTTTCGTTGTAGGTATTCTAGCTTATAAGGATCTGAATTCTTCATAAGTACCTGAATGTTTCCAATCAACAAGGTGAAGAGCATCAAACCACTCAAGACAATAGTTATGCTGAATATGACTTCAAGCCAGTGACTTGTTGGCTCCAAATTGTTGCCAAATGTGCTGCAAGATAATGCATTATGTTAGGAGGGTCCAATACCGGAGCTATTATTCTATGCGGACACCGGACGGTTCTCCCCTCCGGTTACAAACTCGGTATCGAGCGATACCGAGCGCAGTACATTTTTGGGTGACCTAACATATTTTTATTGGTCTCCGGATGCTCCGGACTCCGCACAGAATAAAATTTCCCAATACTGGGGACTTGAGTTGAGCTTGGAACATCAGTTAACGGTTCTGACTTTTGAATTCAACATCATAAAAGTGAGAAGCACATTCCACTTTTAAGGAAGATGCTCTGCTTAAGGCTTCGTTTGGGACGGTTTTTTTATTGCTTCTTTAAGCAGCTTTTTGTACTAAAAAATTGCTTTAAGAAGCAGCAAAAAAGACATTCTAAACAAAGCCTAAATCCTTTCTTTCTCAGATGCTAACACATACCTGAGAGTCATAAGGCCCCAGAATATTGGGTAAAGGATTTTAACAGCTAGTGAATTGCTGGAAACAACAGGAAGAGCTGTGTTGTAGATTCCATATGGAAATGGACCGTTAACTTTTAAACATGTAGGATCATTTTGAACTGCTGTAGTTTCTGTAGTGAAATTGAAGGTCTGGCATGAAATACTCTTCACATTTGATGAGAAGGGAAGATTGTAGCACACTTGCTTAGAACAGGCAAAGGATAGGAGATCGCAGGTTTTATTTTTCTCACATTGCTGCTTCAGACAAGAAGCAATTCTTTGAATTGTAAGAACATACCAACAGCCTCCAGCTACATGTGAAGCAATGAAATAAGCAATGAGATTGAGTCCAAAGCCCCACCAAATTGAACCGAAAATGAAACCAGTGACCTTCTGCATCCTTCTCATCACACATATAATGTGATAAACTTTGGGTAGAAACTGGAACAAGAATATCATTATAAGTATTGTCATTATCAGCTTTATCTCAGAAATACTATCATAACTACAAAATAAACAATTAATTGGACACTAATCATGTGATTTTATATAATATTAAGGATAAATAGTGCCTAACTAACCTATATATCAAGAATTTTAAAATTTTTTCTAGCCACAAATATTTAATATTAGCATGATATGGCTTGAGCATGATGAACATGATTGGCCCCACAGGTCAATAATTAATGCATATAATCCTCCTAGACCAGCAGAATATTTTGCTAAAGAAGATTTTCACATGCAATGTTTTGCCATTTAAGATCTTGGTATGTGACATTGCCTATTATTGAGCAATATTTTGTGATTTAGGTTTCGTTTGGGACGGTTTTTTTACTGGTTTTTAAAACAAATTTTTAATATAAAATTTTTAATTTTGTACTAAAAATATGCTTTAAAAACAGTAATAAAATCCTATCTATGTACCCAAAATTACATAAACTCCTTTTGCTTGAGAGAACAGCTAAAAAAAACTTCAAAATTTATTTGTTTGAGGTAGTTTTGAAAAATAAAATTGAAAAAATAAAGGAAAAATGTTATAAAAGCTTGATTAGAATTATTTCAAAGCTCTTTTTATTTTCATTTATGGCCTAATTTTCAAATGAAAACCTGCTTTATAAATAAATAACTACGCAAAACTCAGTAATAATAACATATTAGGCTTCGTTTCTGATGATTTTTGTATTGCTTCTTAAAATAATTTTTTTTGTGCAAGAATTAAAATTTTTGTACTAATAAATTGATTTAAGAAGCAAAATGAAAGTCGTCCCAAACGAAACTTTAACTCTTAAGAGTCCGTTTGAGACAGCTCTAGCTTTTTATAAAAATGATTGTAAAACAGTTGTGAAAGATACAACTTCTTTAAAAAAATACGATAAAAATGACTTCTTAAAACAAAAATTTCTTAAAAAAGTGGGAATATATTGGCTAAATATAAATAAGATATCATTTTGAAAAGAAAAATAGTAAAAAAATCATCTTAAATTGACCCAAAGAACTTAGTAATGCTAAATTAACCCAAATATCTACTATATTTTTTACATGTTAAGCCAAGTAAAACTACCTAAGATCTCATAAAGAATATATAGAAAATTTCAGTAGTTTTATATGTGTTTGATTCTCCACGTTTAATATTTATTATTTGTTGGCATTCTGTCACATTCTACTGTGCTCTGGCTCACATAGTACATCGGTTGCTGCCCCATCTTTGTTTTATATTGCATCTTTATGTTGGAAAATTTCTATGCGTACCGCCCGGGAAATTTTATTTGGTATGGTAATCTGACGTATCTTTATATTCGGTGAGCAGTAAACAGACGCCACGTGTTCTCACTATTTACTACGTGGCCCGACAACCCGACCCCGAACGGACCCGGTAGTTTGAGTATTGCTCGGTATTGCTAGGTATTGGTCGATTTTGCTCGACAAAAACAAAAAATACCATTCTGTGAAGACCAATACCGAGCAATACCGAGTTCTTTTAGGTATTACTCGGTATTGCTCGGTATAGGTCTTCACAGAGCGGTATTTCTCGTTATTGCCAAGCAAATACACTACCCAAAAGAGTGCTCCTATACATGTATGCTTAACTTTGAAGTTTCTACTAAAATTTCAACGGTTACTCCAAAAAGCATCTCAATATTTTAGAGTTTAGTTTTATCTTCTTAAAGAGTTTCACAATATTAATGTGTGTTCTATAAGAATATCGTCACACAATATTTTTTATATATTACTGAATAATATAAAATTAAATTAAATTTTATTTGTTACACTCATTTTGAATTTAATTTAATAATTTTGAGACTAATTTTAACTAAATTTTTTTTCTAAATATAATTATATAAATCAGAAAGAAATAAATACCTGAGGAACAGGAAGGATAACGAAGAGATCAAACCAGAATCCCTTAATGGATCTCAAATAATGCTCCGCCACCATTCTCGCGTCCCATACGAGCTTCCCGCACCCAACTACAAGCGACTCTCTCGACACGTAGGCCATCCTCATCTGTAGCCATATATGCGCCAAATGTGCGGCGTCAGCCGCCGTTCGCAGCACCGTCACCGCCACAACTAATCCTCCATCCATAAAAAGACAAGGCGGCGCGCCGCCGCCGTCGCCGACGGAGAGCGAGTAAAAGAACAGCGGGTCGAGAGCCAAAGCCACTGCTCGAGCCAAAAGCAAGGCGCGGTTCCAACGCTGGACCCGCGGGCTACGCGGGTCAAGAACCCATTGGGTTTTATGCTTGGTCCGTTGCTCAGGCGGTGGTGGAGCGTTGGCGTGATCAGTGGTATTGGGTTGGATTGGGATTAGGGAGGAGCCCGCGGAGGCGGCCCATTCGGGCGAGTGGGCCTGGTCGCAGGTGGTGGAGTGGAAGCTCGGTACGCCCGGTTGGGTGCAGGCGTAGCACTCCGCCACCGGCGAGGTGGCGGCGCTGTCGTCGGTTCTGGTTTCACTACGGTGAAGTAGTTTGGTTGCTTGGTGGAGCTTTTTGTCGAACCTGTGGGAAGATTAATAATGTAATTAACATAACAACGGATGTTTTAAAATTCATGGTTGATAGGGAGATTACCACGAGAGCATGGTGTGGAAATTGGTGAGGAAGTGGCGCATCTTCTTCCATATATGATGGAAACCATGAGAGAACTATGAGAGAAGTTTAGATACAGTAGAGAGAGAAAATATGTTAGATCAAATCATGAACTCTATCTCTCTCTCTCTCCTTTCTCTGTATGTGAAGGAAGATGGTGGACAAGAAGAGGAGGATTTGATGAGAGTAGGGGAGAGATGAGAAGGGGAAGAGAGTGGAGAGATAGAAATACGGTGGAGAGGAAAGAAGCTGAGGTCATGAGGTGGGGTATCGATTAACCGACAATTTGATGAGTAATAATTAAATCAAATTCTGTTGAAGCCCTGGTGCCCTTTTGAGAATGGTTTTACCCATGATTCTTAGCTCGGTTGGGAACCCTTCATCTCGAGTTCGATTCTCTCGAGCGGCAGTCGGCCCTTAAGTGGGGGCTCGAAAGCGTCGGCTATGGGTTTGTGGCCTAGGTGGCCTATTAGGTCGGCCGGGTTTACGGACCGCCAAGCACGTTCGACGAAGTCGGGTGTGACAGCAGACGGTTCATCATCATAAAAAGAAAAAAAAATTACCTTTATAAAATTTAAACAATATTGAGCATAAATGAAAAATGATAATCTAAAATTTTTTAAGAAAATGAATTCAGGTTTTAATTTTTCTGTTTTTATTGAGAGTGGTTTAATTACTTAAACGACATAATGACAATCAATTTCAAGCTTACTCATAACTTATTTATTTTTTCCTATCATTTTTTGTTATCTTTATGTTTGTTGGGTTCTGAAATATTTGCGGCGATTCAGATATATAGAGTTTAGCATCCAAATTTTATATGAAGATCCAACACACATACAGATAGATATGAGAGAGAGAAAGGGTGCAAGAGTCATAATAGACACCAAAATTTTTATGTGGAACATCCTCGAAATGAGAAAAAATTACGGGGCATTGCCTAGTTGAATATATCGCTACATGAAAAATACAAATTACGATGGAACTTCTAGCGTAAATTTTCCGTCGGACATTCCGACAGATTTATGGCACATTTATGTTAGAATTTAAAATTTTGTGGAAAATAATTATACTAAATATTTATAATTTAAAGAAATCATTTTTAAAAATTATTGTTTAGCTATAAATTAATTAGTTTAAATTGAATAATTAACTATTTTAATAATTTAGTTAAATAATTTTAATTCCAGCTAAAAATTTCAAAATTTTCAATCATAAATCTTATTATTTAATAATCATTAATAAAAATAATCTTCATATATAATATAATGATTACATAAATATTATTAAAAATTATAATTTAAATAAAAAAGTAGCTTATACAACATTTTATGCACCGTAACCGAATGGATGGGCGCCTGATTCACGAAGGGGGTGTGATTCGAACCTCGTGCATACGTGGGCGAGCGCCAATTGGTGGGCGTGCGGGTAGCGGGTTCTTGCAACAATTTTTTATTAAAATCTGCTAGAAATGTTTTCCAATGGAGAATTTCCGCGGGAATGTTTTTAGTGGAGTTGTTTCATCGGTGTCTGTTTTTCGATGTGTGTTTTACTGACGAAAAAAATTTCTGTCAAAAAATTGTTAGGAATACAAATTACTAATGAATTTTAGTCATTTTTTTTGCGCAAATGGTCGTAGGAAAATGACGTTTCCACTAGTATGTTGTTAATTACAAATGATATCCTTCCTTGGAGGAATGCATTGGCTTAGGACAACAAATATACATCATCTGAGCACTTTAAATGGTTGGGGCAGGATGACCCCAATTTCATGAGAGTTATTCTCAAGAGAGTTTTAGCAAATTCATTTGAATTATAGGACTATATTTGGATGATATAGGTCAGAGAGATCGTAGTCGACAAAGTGTTGACCTCTTTTTTGTCATGAGGTTAATCAAGCTTGACTTCAAATCAAATCAAATTTCCTTCAAGTAGTGGTCATCTTGTGACTACCAGTTGAACTCCTCCATCTAGTCATCAACGATAACCTGAATAATTAACATTGATATGGATGAATCAAACTCAATCAATCAAATTCAAATCTAAAATTTCAAATTAAAATTCAATGTTAAAGGCCCATGTCTTATGACCTTTTTAGGCATGTACTTTGGGTCAAACCTTCACATTTGAGCTCATATCAAGACCTCTAACCCCCAAAACTCAATTGAAATCCAAAGGCTACAAAACATTCAAATATTTTTAGCATATGCCACTGAACATTGCATATTGTGGAATTTAACCTTGGGGTTTTCCTCAAAACCTTTGAATATGTCCATAATCATCTTTATGACATATCAAACCCAAAACTTAATCTTTAATGGACTCTGGTTGACCCAAAGTTAACAAGGGCCCATTTGACCAAAATACTCTTAAAGGAAAATTTGAAGTTTTATCTAAATTTAAATATGACCAATTCACATCAGACCATGAAATTTCTTTTAGTGCTTCATAAATATCATGTCGAGTGCATTTCAATCAAATCCAAGCCTTGGTCATGCATGATTGACCAAGTCAACTCATGTTGATCAAATGACCCTTTAAGGGTTCAAATGGGCATCTCAAACCAAATGATCATTCCATCACATATGACCACCAACATTGGTCTCCAATAACTTATTTAAACATGTTGGATCCAAATCTAACTCTTAGTTTAATCTAGTTGACCAAGTTAATCATGATTGATTGATCAAATCAGTCTTAAATCACAATCATTAGGTTTAATACACTGCCTAGCTCAGCACATTGATCCCCTGAACTTAGTCATGCTCAAATTATCTCACTAGGAATCTTATACATCAAATCATGCATCATTGGCTACCCGGGCTAGTGATTGACCCAATTTGACCCAGTTGAGCTAGTAGCCCAAGCTAGCTCAACAGGTCACTTATGATGATTATGTGAGACCTCGTTCCCTACTGTTCCTCTCTGATTTGGAATTTTTCCTCTCAGGATCGTCCAGGCCGATTTTAAATCGTCCAGGCCGATCGGTACTGTAGAAAATATCGGCCTGAAACAAGTTCTGGGAACCGTCCAGGACGATCGGGACGATCGATTTTTGGTCTGATCATCCTGGGACGATCTGACTAAGGATAAAGGAAAATCTGGTCGTTTTGATGAGAGAGAAAATTTTTTTAAAACAAAATATCTGTTTGAGGAGAGAGAAAGAGAAGGGAAAAGAGGAAAATCTTGGTTTTGGAGGCCGCAGAGCGCTTTTCGTCCGACGCTGCTGTTGGGAAAAGTGAAGATCTCGTGGTAAGGACTCCGAACCCTATTTCTGTTTTCAAAGATATTGAGTTTTGACCGAGTTGTGATTTGTTTTGTGTTTTCGTAGTCGACTTTTCGATGTGATTTTGATTTGGCACAACGTTCACCGCACAACTTTTGATATGTTATAGATATGATTATTGTACACGATTTGACTGTATTCTACGAAGATTTCACCGGTCGGAATTGATTCTACGCGATTTTTATCTAATAGAAAAATATCAGGACTTGATTTGATTTGATTTCTATAGGACCATAGTCTTGTATTGATGTTATAGACATTCCATTGTAATTTGGAAGAATTTGGAATTTGTGTCTTTTTGCAGGATTTTTTGTGTAAATTTGATTGACTGCCGTTACGTTGCCCGATTTTCGTAGATTTTCGGATTTGTTTGAAATTGATAGATTAGATTGATATGCTATTGCTTATTGATATGATTGTTATAGATTGCATAATATTGATTATTGAACTGATTATTGATGATTATTGATACTGGGAAATACGTATGACCTGGTTGAACATTGGTTGGAGATTGATATTGACCTATACAGGATGGTGGGCCGACGGGCTTTCCTTTAAACCATTGATTATTGATATAACGATTGGGAGTCATAAGGAGTTTATAGAAATGCCGACGGGCGAAAAGAGTGACGACTCTTATTGATAGAACCAATGTACGGATCTACAACAGCAATATGGATTCTACAACAGCAACATGACCAGTTGATTATACTTGTCCAGTATATAGTATTGAATTGCATGTTTACTGTATTGCTTTATAGATTCCTTGTTTTATAGATTCCTGTTTTATCGACTTTGATTGGCTTACTAGATCGTACGATTTCATTGATTTCACTGATTGGTTGCTGTGCATCGATATTGAGCATTGATATAGAAATGGATGGATATAGATATTGCATTGATAGCATGGACATGAATACATGAATAGTATAGAATCATTGATACTGTTGCTTATAGATTCATTGATTTTCGCTTATACGACTGCCTATAGATTTATTGATCCTGCCTATGGATTTATTGATTTTGTATTCACTGCTTTCCTCGTATTGATTTCATTGAATAAATAATTGTTTAGACCGCATTAATTAGATTTGATAGCGATTGATTTAAAGGATTGATTGATTCGACGACTTGATTGATTTGACGGATTGACTGATCATTTTCTGCTGTGTACGGATTTCTTCGTGATTGACAGATTTATTGATTCGTCTGCCGCTGCATTGACTGGCTTTATTGACTATTGATTTCCGTATTGCATAGCTTCATTGACCATAGACTGATATAGATTTGATTGACTGTGATTGATTGACA